AGACACCAATGTCAGTGGTGAAATGCTGTCGATGGCGCCATTCGAATTGATGATCCCCATTGGCGCACTCAATTCAGACACCTAGGCTCTACTCGCAATACTGATCCACTCAATAGTCTTTATCCTTGCAGTTAGAGTAGCCAATGGTCACTCTGTAAAGTTATTAGCTGACAGCCAAGTTTGTGTGTATGTGCTTCATTGCAACAGTATGCCAACGACTCATTTTATTACTCTGGCGCGTCGCTTTGTCACTTGGTCATTTGCAAAGGCATTCACTTGCCAGGCGCTTTGTGCTAATCACTGCTCACCGTTAACACCGCCAACTGTCACCATGGCAAAGTTTGTCTGTGTGTGTTAGTTGGCCATGCTGATGCTTTGTCTGGGACGCGTGTTTATCTTTGCAAAAATTTCTCTTCCTATTTTTCAAAAGCAAGGTAATCTAGGGATGATTGAAAACAAACGATGAACAAAGTTGCCAAATGCGCGCACAGGTGCTAAAGAGTTGCGGTTTTCGACGTCGAATTGTCGTGTGGGGAATTTATTCGATTCATCACCGTTTGCTAAACAGTGGCCAACGAATGTTCAGAGTGAATTGGCTTGTTGCGGTCACGTTTTGCGTCGGCATTGGTATTTAATTATCATCAAATAATTGCAACAGACAATACACAGTGTCTGAAATGTCATTTGGCCACCAGCGATACTGCATGGAAATCAATTTACAGTCTCACCCTCTCCTACTTGATTTACCTACATTGTTAAGAGAAATAAAATGATTCATTGTACTAAACTTTTCCTTTTCGTTTTTTCCTCCTCACCATCACAGGCACTCCTGGTGAAGCTGCCATGTACGTGTACTCGGATGTGGAGAAGGGGGCCAGTCCAGAGGCGTTGCCCGTTCCCGCCGCAGTGGCTGCAGCTTCCGGATCATTATCCTCGTCATCATCATCTTCCTCATCCTCCTCATCAGCGTCCCCTGGCTCCTCGGCAGTGAACGGCGCCGAAGAGCAGACGGCCTCGCCCCTGAACGTGATCAGCGCCATCCGAGGAGATAGTCCCTCCGGTGGTGCCTGCAACTGTGATACTAGTGGCCGCGAAGAGGCGCCAGCAGCACCCGCCAGTCAGCTTTCCCCAGTGAGAAGCCTCGCCTCTGTGCGTTCCTCCTTTGTGCCTAACCGGTCCCTCTACACCGACGACTCTGTCCTCATCTTCCTCATTACGCCAACCTACACCAGACCTACGCAAATGCCCGACATGACGAGACTGGCGCAGACACTCCGACTAGTGCCTGACATCTTCTGGATAGTCATTGAAGATGCGCACAACACCTCCAAGTATGTCGTTGAGGGTTGCATACCATTTGCATCGTGATTCTAATTGTTTTTCTCTCTTTCTTCTTCCCCAGAACTGTGGAAGACCTTCTACTGCGCAGTGGCGTGCCCTACGTGCACCTTCTCGGTCCTCGGCCGGCGACGCACATGGACAAGCGCAGCGGACGCGGCGTGTCGAATCGCCTGAAGGCCTTTGAGTGGCTCCGCGAGAACTACCTGGGCACTGAGCAGAAGGGCGTCATCTACTTTGCCGACGACGACAACGCCTACGACACGCGTGTCTTTGAGGAGATGCGCGACACGAAGGTCGTCTCCATGTTTCCTGTCGGACTGCTGCCCACGCTGGGCCTCTCCACGCCCATTGTCAGCAGCAAGACGGGCAAGATCATCGGTTTCCACGACCCCTTCATCGGCCGGCGAAAGTTCGCCGTCGACATGGCCGGCTTTGCCGTCAATTTGCAGTTCTTTCTGCAGCAGAAGAAGGCCACCATGCCGTACAAGGTCGGCTACGAGGAGGACTACTTTCTCAAGAGCTTGGGCGTCAAGATTTGGCAGCTGGAGCCGAAGGCGAACAACTGCACCGAGGTAATGTTGTTTTTATTTCCATCAAGTTTTTTTGTACCGAATGGCTATTCTTAACCGCTATTCTTCTTTTTCTGGAATCTCAGGTACTAGTGTGGCACACGAAAACGAAGCCAGCCGATAACCCGAATGTGAACATGATGAAGAAGGTGACCAAGTACAATGAGACCAACTTGCCCTCACTCTACGAGAACGTCATGGAGACGTAACACGGGAGGTGTGTCGAAAATGTCAACCTTCCACACACTTCTCCTCGCTCAACTGTCCAGTTTCGCTCTCTCTTTTCTCTGTTGTCTTTCTCATTTCCTTTTCTCTCTCTCTCTCTCTCTCTCTCTCTCTCTCTCTCTCTCTCTCTTATTTATTCCTCAACATCTCTCTATTTATTACTATTACTTCTCTTGTCTATCGTACAACGAACACTGCTTTTGGCGCTCTCTCTTTCACTCCCTTGCCAACTTGTTCATTCACCAACTGTGTTTTCCACTTTTCCAGGACTTTGAAGGACTGCAAGTCAGGCGCAACGCGACCAGTGCGCTTAGGCTTCCATTTTTGTACAAATCATTTGTTTTCTCCCTCTCTCACTATTATGTAATTTAAAAACAATTAAAACCATCAATTGACTAGTGCCATCGTAATCGAAACTGTGTTATTACCAGTAGTTACCGGGCTTAAGAGAATCGGTCATGTTATTTTTGTTACTTTAAAAATAGGTAATGCAATTACCACTTGTATTTTTATTGATAATGTCAAAAGTAGTTATATGACTTTGATATTAATTTATTGTAATAAAAATATGGATAAACCAATGGCCAAAGGCACCACATCATCTTCCATCGAAATAGCATCACGATCACACCCATCCATCACACGATTCCATTTCGTTTATAAAAATGCTGAACAGATTATACAGTAATACAGCTCCACTCCAGTCCGCTTATTGAGGCGGCGGCTGCTGATAATAACCAGGTCCCTGCTGGTAGGGGTTGTACTGCGGTGGATAGTACGGGTTCATTGGGCCTAAAAGAGAGAAAGAGAGAAAAGTAGTGAATAAGTATAGACAAGAAATGACACCAAAGTGCACTGTCATCTCCCTTACCTTGAGGAGCAACGTAGGGATTGAAGCCGGACGGCAGCGGCGGCGGAGGGTAGTAGTTGTACGCCTGGTTCGGGTAGGCAGGGTAGTACTGCGGCTGACCCATTGCCGGCTGAGGGTATCCGGGCGCCATGTGCGGGTGCGGCGCCGCAGCAGAAGTGGGCGGCACGCTGGGCGGTGCTGGTNAGTAACCAGGTCCCTGCTGATAGGGGTTGTACTGCGGTGGATAGTACGGGTTCATTGGGCCTAAAAGAGAGAAAGAGAGAAAAGTAGTGAATAAGTATAGACAAGAAATGACACCAAAGTGCACTGTCATCTCCCTTACCTTGAGGAGCAACGTAGGGATTGTAGCCGGACGGCAGCGGCGGCGGAGGGTAGTAGTTGTACGCCTGGTTCGGGTAGGCAGGGTAGTACTGCGGCTGACCCATTGGCGGCTGCGGGTATCCGGGCGCCATGTGCGGGTGCGGCGCCGCAGCAGAAGTGGGCGGCACGCTGGGCGGTGCTGGCGCAGCGGCTGGCGGCGGAGGACGCGGAGGCGCCTCAGCCTTCTGGTAGTTGGGCGCAGTGGGCACCGGGTCGTTGGGACGGGTGACCGGCTCATTGGTGAGGTCCTTCACCAGCTCCTCGCGTTCGGCCTTTCGAGCAAAGCAAAAGTCATCGATCTTGACTTGCAGATTCACCAGCAGCTGAGTCAGGTCATTGTAGAATTTGGTGCCCTCATTGAGGTTAGAGTGCAGCTCAATGAAGGCATCGTACGCGGAAGCGAGCTCCTTCAAAAACTGCTCTCGCTTGTTGCCTGCACCTCCGCGGGTGGCGACAAACTGCTCATTGGCAGAGCGGATCTCCTCGACCAGGCTTTCCTGTTTCTGCTGACTTTCGCGCGATTTTCGCTGCAGTTCGCCAAAGTACTCGCCAATGGTTTCAGTGGAAAGGGAGGCCTCGTTCACGTCAGTATGCAGGGACAGTGACTTCATAAACTTGGACTTCATCTCCTCAAACTCCACGTTCTTGAAGCTCGATTCGAGTGTTTCGCGATCCTTCTTGAGGGCGTCCACCTGAGCCATCAACTGCTTCAGCTTGGCAATGGCCGTCTCGTCAACTTTGGCACCTGAACTCTGATTAGTGGGAATGGCGTCAGCCAAAGCACTACCAGAGGAGTTTGAGAGTAGCTTCATCTTTTCCACATTTGAGTTGTACTTTTCCTTCACTTTGTTGTCCGCCTGAACAGCATTCTGCAGAATGTTGCGGTACTTGGCAATGTGGCCCGTCCAGGTACTGCTCAGCTGTTTTGATGGAGTGCGCTTCCACTTCTCACCAAACTGCTGCTTCAGCTTATTGTCGCTCTCCTCCTCCTGCTGGAGGGAACGTTCAATTTCGTCGAGAATTTCTCTGTTTCGTGTAAGCAGGTCGGGCAGCTCGTTGATTAGTCTCTCCAGCTCATCAATGCCTCCCTTCTCCTGAATGCTCTGCGCCTTCTCTTTAAGTGACTTTGGCACTTCGACGCCCTTAACATCTTCAATGGCGGCGGGAAGGTTGAGAGAAGCAAGGACGGCGTTGAGAGTTTGAGTCTGCTCTCGCAGGGTGGCAATTTCCCCGTTGACCACCTCCTGTCGCTGCTGGTCGAGCTTCTGAATGGACTGGTGAACGCCAAAGGGAAGCAAGTTCTGGAACAGATCCTGCTCTCCGGGAAAGAACATCTCAGGCAGGTCGGTAGCCTTGGCCAGGACGGCCTTGTTGATAGTTGGCAAAGTTTTGTGTTCCGGGATTTTGACGTGGTAGATGAAGTCATTATCGCGTTTCACCTCCTCCAGTGATTGTGTGGCCTTGTTGATAATCTCTTTGAACTTGGTAGTGAGCGGAATTGCCACCTTTCCCTCGGCAGCCTTCAGATACTCTATCGCCTTTGTCAATCGGCAAATTTGCTCGCCAAACTCCTTCTTCTGCTGAGCCACCAGCGCCTGGTAGTACTCGGCGACGCCCTGGTAGGCATGCTGCTTCAACACAAACACATCGACCCACTCTGGGATGTTTGTTTTGTTGGTGGTGTTGATGTTCAAAATTTGCTTGTGCACTTCGGCGTAAAACTCTTCACACTGGGCGGCAATTCGAGCAATTGACATTTCCTTCATTTTGTCGTTGCTGGCTTTGTAGAAAAATGCCTCCTGTGCCTGAGCAAGCATGATGTACTGGAGCAGAGTAAGTACGTCGGTCTGCAGGTCAAAAGTCAGCTCATTGGTGCCGGCAGTAGAGCAAGAAGTGTGCTTTAGCGCCAGAAAGATGCCCGCCGCGCCTTGGAA